AAGGAATATGTAAAAAATGTTTTAAAAGAATAAGGGTGAAAAAACTAGAATAATATTATGTCAAATTTAAACAAAATGATACAAAGGGATTAAGTTATAAAGAACAGGTAAAAATGGACTTAAAAGGAAAGGGAAAATTGGAGACATAATAGGTTGAAATGTATAATATAGAATAAGATTTGAAAGAAGGTAAGGTACTGCTGAATATGAGTGTGTAAAAGGGAATACAGAAAAGGGCGATGTGAGGAAGTCAGGAAAGAGGGTTATAAAAATAATAAGTAAAAAACTGGATTTTTATTTTTTTTATGTTTTTCTTCTTTTTATCTTTTTTATATTTTCTATTGTATTCTTCTGTCTTTGTTTGATTGTGATAATGTTTTTCTTTTTCTGGCTGACTGTGAAGCTTGTTTTACTATCCAAAATTTCAATAAATATCTTTAAAAAAAAAAAAGATAATGCCAAGGTTGCAGGTTCAATCCTTGTTTGGAACAGCTGCCTATTGCTGCATCGCAGGGGGACCAGATGATCCCCAGGGTCCCTTCCAACTCTATAATTCTATGATAAATAAGAGGCAATACTTCTATACTCATGAAGCAAACTAAGATTTCTTCTCCACCTACACTCGCAGAGGGAAAAATGGTGTACCACATCCTTTCCTAAAAATAAAGAAATAAATGCTTTGGTATGTGTTTGTTTTTTAAGTGCCCTGTTGAATCAGACCAAGGGCCTATCTATTCTAGCCTTCTTCCAGCAAGGACCTGCCAGATGTCTCTTAACAGCTCACAAGTAAGAGCAGGAAGTCAAAACCCCTTCCTCTGCTGTGACTACCTAGGAACTGGCATTCAGGGGCAGACTGCCTCTGATCATGGAGGTTTTACCTCGTAATGGGAATTTTGTGTGTGTGTGTGTGTGTGTGTGTGTAGGCAAGGTGGAGGAATTGTGTTTGAGGCTGCAAAGTGTGAGGAGGGTTTAACCCTTTCCTCCTCTGCCTTATCAGTTTGCATTTTTTTCAAGACTTTATGAAAATTCATAAGCATTTTAGTGCAAATTTCTGCTAACAGGCACATTCTCAAATGCAGTTTTGCCTAATGTACATGTTTTTGCAAACAATTTCCCCAAAATACAATAGAGTTTTTTGCATTGTTTTCTCAAATATACTGCTTTTTGTGCAGACAGCTTGGTTGAGGAACTGCACCACAAAACTCAGGAAAGTGCCCAATATCGAAGGAGTGCTTTGTTTCATTTCGCTCATGTGTTTGGGACGTGCAGATGAGGCAGTTTTGCATTAAAATGTGAAGAAGAGAAATTATCACCAGTCCCTAAATACAAATGTCATGCTCAGCACTGTGTGAAATCTGGCCCCAATATTTATCTATTTAAAAGCATTTATATACAGCTTAATATTTCAAAAATCTCTGAGTGATGGTTAGAGCCATTGATATGCTTCCTTTCCCCCATTAATCTATCCAATCCCCAGACACACCCTAAAGCTAAGAACAAGAGCAGAACCTGTTAGATCAGGCCAAAATCCCACCTAGTCTATCATCCTGGTCAACTAAATGAAAGTGAGACCTGCACTCAACAGCACTCCCCACACTTGTGAGCATTAGGGCACAATGGGTCCGTTCACCGAAGGACAGCTGTGGGCAGGATTCCTGCATTGTAAGGGTTTGGACTAGATGACCCCTGGGGTCCCTTCCAACTCTACAGTTCTGTGATTCTAGGATTCCTAGCAACTGGCATTGGGGGGGGGACATACACCCTCCAATGCAGGAGATGGTGCATAGCCATTGTGCACAAAGTGTTGTATCCCCCAAGCTTGTGGAACTTCCTCCCAACTCAGATTAGACAGCCACTCTCCTTGCTGAAGTTCAGGCACTTGGTAAAGACTTTCTGATACCAGCAGGCATTTAAAGGAAGTGCTCAGGATTATATTATTTTTCCGTTATTTATTTATACTATTTATATACTATTTATATACTGCTCTTTATCCAAAGATCCCACCATCATAATTTATGTAGCAAAATCATAAAAGCACAATACAGAGCATAATAATATGCAGCATAAGGATAAAATGATCAGTGGCTCAGAGTGCCTTCCGTCAGCCGTGGTTGGTGACCCACCTACACCCCTATTTGGACAGGAATAACCTAACTACTGTTGTCTATGCTCTGGTAACCTCAAGGCTGGATTACAGCAAAGCGTTATATGTAGGGCTGCCTCTGAAGACGATTCGGAAACTTCAGTTACTGCAGAATTCAGCTGCCACGTTGCTCACCAGAGCACGGCAGTTGGAGCATATTACACTGATCCTGGTCTGACTGCACTGGCTACCAATTAGTTTCCAGGCCCAATTCAAAGTGCTGGTTTTGAAAGCATTAAACGACTCAGGACTGCAATACCTCAAGGACCGCATCTTTCCATATGAACCTACTCAGACCCTGAGTTCATCTTCTTGAGGCCCTTCTTCATGTGCCTCCTCCTCAAGAGGTCCGGAGGGTGGCAACACGAGAACAGGGCCTTCTCTGCAGTGGCTCCCTGTCTGTGAAATGTTCTCCCCAGAGAATTTCACGTGGCACCTTCATTATTTTTATTTTTATTATATATTTTGTGGTTTTATATTTTGATTTTGTTCTGTGAAACACCCTGAGACCTCTGGGTATAGTGTGATATATAAATTAATAAATAAAATAAAAACCATAATAACAGCCCCCCCCTCCACATAAGTATTTAACAGGCCATAGATTGCTTAACGGCCATAGGCCTGGGTAGAGAGGAATATTTTCACCTGGCAGCTAAAGATATGTAATGATGGTGCCAGGCGAGCCTCTCTGGGGAGAACATTCCACAAACGGGGAATTTGGTTTTATGATTAATTTTTACTGTTGCCTTATGGTGTTAATCTATGTACATACACAGCTTACAAATGCTAATGAAAAACACTGGAAATCAACAAAGGTTCCTATGTGGGAACCATACGAATGTATGGAATGTTGCTTTTTCTGAACATCTGGTCAGATCCAGACATGTAATCTGGGGTGAAGCCAAATCAGACAGTTCTGAGGCAGACTGCTTCCCATTTTCTGATTATATAAATTGGGAGAGTCATATAAGCAACTCCTCCTGCGACTCATTCCTCATTGCAGCAGTGCTACATAGACGGGTCTTACATATTCAGTTACATACAGCAAGAGTCTTACATATGACTCTTGCTAAATGTAACAGCATGTCTATAACATGTCTATAACCAAAAATGCACCATCTGTGCTTCTGTTACTGCTTACATGGTTATGTGTTAGTTTGCTTCTGCGGCAAAGAAATAAAAATTATTATTTTAAGAAGGAAGAAATGCCAATGATTAAAACTCTTTAAATAAACTAACTAAGTAAGTATGGCTAATAGCCACTGAAGCCTCATGAATTTGTCTGATCATCTTTAAAAACACCCAAGCTAGCAACATCACTACATTATTGAGGGAGTGAATTCAATAGTTTTGACTATGTGAAGGAGGACGTTGTCTCTCCTGAATCTTCCCAACATTCATATTTATTATTCATTCATTCATTCATTCATTCATTCATTCATTCATTCATTCCCTCCCTCCCCATCTGGCTGGGTTTCCCCAGCCACTCTGGACGGCTTTCAACAGAACCTTAAAAACAGAATAAAACTTCAAACATTAAAAATTTCCCCAAGCAGAGCTGCCTTCAGATGTCTTCTAAAAGCTGGATAGTTATTTATTTCCTTGACATCTGATGGGCGGACGTTCCACAGGGCGGGTGCCACTACCGAGAAGGCCCTCTGTCTGGTTCTCTGTAATCTCACTTCTTGGAGTGAGGGAACCACCAGAAGGCCATCGGAGCTGGATCTTAGTGTCTGGGTTGAACAATGGGGGTGGAGACGTTCCTTCTGGTATACTGGGCTGAGGCTGTTTAGGGCTTTAAAGGTCAGCGCCAACACTTTGAATTGTGCTCGGAAACGAACTGGGAGCCAATGTTTTTAGGACCAGTGTTATATGGTCTCAGCGACTGTTCCCAATCACCAGTCTAGCTGCCGCATTCTGGATTAGTTGTAGTTTCCGGGTCACCTTCAAAGGTAGCCCCACACAGAGCGCATTGCAGTAGTCCAAGCGGGAGATAACCAGAGCATGCACCACTCTGGCGAGACAGTCTGCAGGCAGGTACGGTCTCAGCCTGCATACCAGATCGAACTGGTAGACAGCTGCCCTGGACACAGAATTGAACTTTGCCTCCATGGACAGCTGTGAGTCCAAAATGACCCCCAGACTGTGCACCTGGTCCTTCAGGGGCACAGTTACCTCATTCAGGACCAGGGAGTCCCCCACACCCGCCTTCCCCCTGTCTAAATTCTAGCATGAGGGCTAGAGAAACATTCTGCCTCTTCACTTTTTCTGCACCACGCTTAATTCTTTATATCTCTATCACTTCTCCTCTTAGTCATATTTTTTTCAAAACTAAAAAGCTTCAAATGTTGTAACCTTTTCTCAGAGGAGAATCGTACCACCTCCTTGGTTCTTTTGACTGCCCTTTTCTGAACATTTTACCAGCTCTACAACATCCTTTCTGAGGTGAGGTAATGACATCATAGCATTTTTTCAGCAGCAAATTGCCCCAAATTAGCTACACATGAAGATATCCTATTATCTATCTTGACTCTCACCTTGGTCCTTGGCTGGATTCCAGCATTATGAGAAAGAATGAGGGAGGGGGAATCTCTCTATTGACTTTCTCTACATAGTGCAAAACTTTTATATATATACGTACATCTATCATATCTGCCTGCTATTTGTTTCCCTCTGGATCTCAATTTGCTGGTTTAAAAAAAGACAGCAGATCCTACAACTTGGAAGTCTTGACAACCATGGTCTGCAGCAGTAAACCCTGAAGTTGTTCTCACACTTGTGAAAACCCTTCCTTCTCAATTTGGCCCTTCACTGTCCTTACAGAGTGACACCAGAGCAAACGAGGAAGCAGCCTTACCTTGTCCACCTTCATGTGAAGATATAAGCCAAAAAGCACTGTCCCAACGAGCTGTGCGATAACGAACACTGCCATCAAGCTTGTGAAGGCTTTCATGGTGAAGCCAGCAGGTCTTGGGGTTGTGGATGGATAAGGCTCACCAGAGTCCATGTGTCTCTACCTCCTGAATTCTTGCGTCTCTGAGCCTCTTGAAAACCACCTCGCTACTTACTCTGCGCAAGAGAGCAACAAGTTCTCTCTCTCTCTTTCTCTCTCTCTCTCTCTCTCTCTCTCTCTGTGTGTGTGTGTGCGCGCCCACCTCTTCCTGGGGAGGAAACTCATCTTCCATTTGTTCACACTCCTCTTCCACAACAACAGCGACAACAAAGTCATTTCCTGAATTCATCGTTTGCCATTCGCTTCCATGGGTTGTCACAAGTTCCTCCTCCAGCAACTTCATTCTTCTGCCCACCCACCACCTTTTCCCCCTATCTTAGACAGACTTTTTTTTTCTTTCCTCTTCACGCACACCCCAACCTCTTCCTGGCTTCAAAGAAAGAAAGCATCAGTGACTAAGGACGGGCAAGTCTGTCAATTCTGGGTTCAGTTTCTCATTTTCCCCATCCAACACTAAATTCTCCACATTTCCACATCAGTTTGCAATTTTTGTTAAGTCCTTGTGAAAATTTGTTGGCATTTTAGTATGAATCGCTCCTAGTACATTCATATTTGTATGACATTTAATGTACACATTTTTGCAGGGCAATTTCCCCTAATGTAGTGCATCTTCACAATTTTCACTAAAAAAAAATTATGCACACTTTACCCTAGTGTCTGCAATTTGGAACACATTACTTGCCCAAAGAGCTGCATTACCAAATGTGGAGAATTTCAAAGAATGGCTGTGTTTCAGAGGTCATATGGTTTCAGAAAATGTGAATTTGCTAAGTTTGCCTGGATTCTGTTTCCCCTCCCCCTCCTTATTTATGGCAGCCTTTTCTGACATGGGGCCCTCCGTTTGACTCAGTCAGGGTTGATTGATCAACATTGGTGATCAATCTCTTCTTCATGGTATCTAAATAAAATCACAAGCAGGTAGCGTTATCGCCCCCATCCTGACTCTCATATCCTGCACGTGGATGCTGGGGGCATAAGAATATAAGAAGAGCCAACTGGATCAGGCCAATGACCTACCTAGTCGAGCATCCTGTTCTCATAGTGGCCCACCAGATGTACCAATGGGAAACCATCAAGAAGGACCCAAGCCATAGCTGTCAACTTTTCCCTTTTCTTGCGAGGAATCCTATTTGAAATAAGGGAGTTTCCATTTTAAAAAAAAGGAAACATTGACAGCTATGACCCAAGCACAAGAGCATTCTTCGCTCATGTGGATTCTAGTAACTAGTATCCAGATTCATTGATCCCTTCAACCACAGAAGCAAAGCATAACCATCCTGGCTAGTAGACATTGATAGCCTTCTCTTCCATGAATTTGTTGAATCCTCTTTTAAAGCCATCCAAATTGTTGGCCATCACTGCCTCCTGTGGGAGCAAGTTCCCAACTGTGCACTGTGAAGGACTTTTCTTTTAATCTGCCCTGAACATTCATTTCCATTAGATGTCCACAGCTTCTGGCGTTAAAAGAGGAGAACAATTTTTCTCTGTCCACTTTCTCTGTGCCATGCATGGTTTTACAAACTTTGATCCCGTCACTTCTTGCTCACGTTTTCTCTAAACCCAGAAGTCTCAAATGTTGCAACTCCACAGGGGAGTCGCCCCATCATCTTGGCCATTGTGGTTGCTGTTTTCTGATCCTCTTGCAACTCTAGCATGACCTGTTTGAGGGAAGGCAACCAGAACTGTACACAGTATTCCAAACGTGGTGATCCCTCACGTATCTTGATAACAGATCTAAAACAAGGGTGTGTGGAAATAAATGGTTACCCTATCAGCCAATCTTGAGGGCATCAAGTACAGTAGCTGATGATTGATATGAATGATAATGGCAACTAAACACCTGGGGGGGGGAGAGATAGATCCACTCTGATGTTTATACCAAGCACACACAACCATGATTAAATCTGGTCATCGCTGCTAAAAAAATTGCAACAGCTAAATTGCATTCTTATCCGTTTTTCTTTTTTCTTCTTTGTTAAATGTGAGATTTAAAAAATGAATTTAAAATGAGTACTGCTAAATGGCTCATGTTTACTTTGTCCTCATAGGCAAATGCATATTGATGTAATAAAGATAGTTTGTTTCACAGTGAAATGAGCTATATTAGTTCTATTAGACCAATCGCTTTTGAATAGTTTGCAGTGCTTTGTGGCATTTTGATTGATCAGCTGTTTTGTTTTGTTGTTTAAGTTTGTTGTATTTAAATTCATTTTAATCTCTATGGTGCATTTTGCCTTATGATGACAATGTGGTCCAATAATATTTTAACAGATAAATTAAACACACACATTAAACAGCCAGCAAAGCTTGCAGTAAATACCGTATTTTTCACTCTATAGGATGCACCGGACCATAAGACGCACCTTGTTTTAGAGGGGGAGAACAAGAGAAAAAAATCTCCCCCTCTCTGCTCAGCACCCTTCCATTTCTCCTGCCACTTTGCTGAAGGGGAACTGCGCAGAGAGGGGGAGATTTATTTTTTTCTTGTTCTCCCCCGCTAAAACAAGGTGCGTTCTGTGCATTCAAGCTGCGTTCATCCGAAACCTCCAGAGCGCAGTGGGGGTTCCCGCTGCGCTGTGGAGGCTTCAGATGGCTACCTTGGAAGCCTGGAGAGCAAGAGGGGTCACTGTGCGCTGACCCCTCTCGCTCTCCAGGCTTCAGTGAAGGCAATCCGAAGCCTCAGGAGAACGGCAGGAGTTCCTGCTGGGCTCCGGAGGCTTTGGGTGCCTTTCGACCTGCTCTTTGGGGCTGGCGGGGGGGGGGTGGAAGCGCTGCTTTCCCCCACCGCCAGCCTCAAAGACCAGGTCGGGGAGCAGCGCAAAGGCTGCGCACTGCCTTCCCGCTGCCCCCCGAGCTTGTGGGGATGGCAGTGGGGGAAAGCAGCGCTTTCTCCTACCGCCAGCCTCAAAGATCCCTGAAGCCTTCGGAGCACAGAGTGAGTTCGGTGCGCACCAACCCCTCTCGCTCTCAAGGCTTCAGGGAAAGCAATGTGAAGCCTCCGGAGCGCGGAGGGAGCGCTCCCTCTGCGCTTCGGAGGCTTCACGTTGCTATCGCTGAAGCCAAGGAGCCTGCATTCGCTCCATAGGACACACACACATTTCCCCTTAATTTTGGAGGGGGGAAAGTGCGTCCTATAGAGGGAAAAATACGGTATATCCAAAACCCATGTAAGGGTGAGAAAAACATAAATTTTACAGCGTGTGACCTATTAAGGGAGAAAAAAAATACGAAGCGAGACATTAATGATGGAAATACATAATTGAACATAAATATAGATTGGAAATGGCTGTGTATAGTGAATACTTATCTACTTTTAAAATTCTCATTCTTGATCTTATTTCTTCCTTTTCTTTATCTTCTTGTTCTTTTCTTTTATATTTTACCTTTTATTTCTTTTCTTTATTGTGAATATTGTTTTGTAGAGGTGCAAATAATTGTAAATATCAGAAAAGGTAAAATGTTTTCTAATTTTCTATTGGTTACATGTATTTTCCTTTTTTTGTATATTTGTATTTTTTTTCTAATTTGTACTCAATAAAATTAATAATAAATAAATAATAAATAAATAAATAAATAAATAAATAAATAAAGCAAGCTCATCAGGTGTCCATCTCCTTGTCCCACTTGGCGGCGTCAGGCAACTTCATGTTTTGTCCCATGAAATCAAGGAACATGGAGGCCTGCAGTAACCGGCCCAGCCTCTGGAAGTGCCGTGTATGGTAGGAGAGACTCCATAGCTGCTTTGATCCCTTCGTCTTGCAAGAGGCTCTCTGGCGTCTCATGCTTGAGGAGGGTTTCCACCACTGCCTGAGCCTCGAGGTAGTTCCGCGAGTTTGTGTTCCACGTGATGGAAAACTTCAACACAGCCTCTGGAAGAAGGGGTTTGGGGAAGACAGGTCAGGAAGGAGTGCAAGTTGCAGGCAGCGTGGTCACCTTGAACCAACACACCTCTCTTGTGAAGCGTGGCCAGGTCTGGGCACACATCTGACCTGCGCCTTTCTTCAAGGCAGGGAAGCAGATCCAACACCCCTCCCCACCTAGTAGAAACAATTAATGATGGGAGGGGTGACTGAGTTTATTCCAGACTACATGGCTTGCAGGAATGGGTTTTATAATATTTATAAGAGCACAACAACAACAACAATATGCATTATAATCTTTGCTCTGGTATTACAGAGCTGGTGGAGCTAATTTGAGGCTGTGTACACACCATACATTAAAAGCATTATCACTTCTCCCCTGTAAGAATCCTGGGAACTGTAGATTACCCTTCTACCGCACAGGTACAATTTGTAGCACCCTTTACAAACTGCAATTCCCAGGATTCTTTGTGAGAAATGTGCTTTTAATGCCTGTTTTTCCTGCAGCAGGCATGCTCAGCTACCCCTCTGGAAGCTCAATCCCACAGAAAGCTGTGACGGCCACCAACTTGGATGGTTTTATGCAGGAAAGGCTATCAATGGCCACTAGGCACGATGGCTATGCTCTACCTCCACAGTCAGTGGCAGTAACGTTTGTGAATAGTAGTTGCTGGAAGATACAGGAAGGGAATACAGAATGCTCTTGTTTCCACAGGCCTCTGGTTGGCCACTGTGAGAACAGGATGCTGGGCTAGACAGGCCAATGTGGCCTCATCCAGCAGGCACTTCTTATGTCCTTACATGGTTCAAGGGTAGAGATTGTGAGAAGGCATCTTCCAAAGCAATCCCACCCCGCAAATAGCTTTGGAGCCTTCTTGCCTCTAGCCTAGCCCTCACCCCTTTTCCTGTTCCCGCTGGAGTCTTCTTTTGCTTGCCACGCCTGCGGGCTCTCTTCCGGCCAACGCTGCCAATGACAGATCTTAAAAACTTGGGGTCGGTGAGATTCGGCAATCGCAACACCTTGTGCCTGCTGGACCTCCTGAGCGGAGCGGGCTGTGTCTTGCTCCTGGTGAAGTAGGGTGAAATGTGAGGAGTGTTGCAAGCCGGTGCAGAGGCAGAAGGTCTGGCCGAGATGGTAGAGCAC